GTTTAGGGTTTAGGGTTTAGCCCTCGAGCACGAGTTCTGAGCCACTTTGGCCCTGGCCCTAGCCTGGCTCAGTTCTACTTGCAGCACGAGATGCTCACTTGCGAGATGCCTCCTGCATTCTTGCCGCCTGGCTGCACCCGAAATCCCAGCGCCCGGGTTTAGGTACGGTGTAATCGCTGGAATCTGGGTTTGAGCATCTCACTTTCAATATACGAGCGTTTCGAAAATCAGAGCGGAGTGCTGAAGTATACTGTAGCGTTATCTTACAGGGAATCTAGTGGGATAGTTTTTCTGCCCCGAATGTTACGGTGACTGTGCGATCTTGCAGAGACGTAGAGCCCAAGAGGTCATTCAAGAAGCTTGCAGACCTGCAAAGCTGCATTAGGGGCTTAAGTGGGTTTAGGGTTTAGGCATTCTGCACTGTCAAGCTGTACTGGGTTTGTGCAAGGATTCTTGAACGGCTTCTTTCGGAAACTCGTATATGATTCATCGCAGGTTCGCAAATCGAACTTGAAGAGTCGCTATAAACCCCAAACTCTGTAGTTTAACTTTAAGCCGTAAGCGCTTTAAACCCGAACCCTGTTACTGAGTCGAACCAGTATTTCTGCAGACCTTGCCAGGCTTGTCCGGGTGTGAGGGTCAAAAAACCCTATCAACCCTAAACCCCAAAGCACAAAAAACCCTAGACCCTATAAGCCCGAGACCCTATATACCATAAACCCTCTACCATCTAAGCCCGAAGCCTTAAACCCTTCGCAGGAAAGTCGGTGTGGGCAACGTCACGGTGCGCCTTGTGATGCGCAGCGACTATGCGCGGCAGACGAAGTACGCTCTGGAGGACATGACTTGGGGGTTTTAGGGGTTTAGGATGTAGAGTACGGTTTAGGATTTAAGTAGGGTTTAGGGTTTCCTGATGCAAAAAAAGGAAGAGGATGTAGGGAAGGGCTATATTCTGGAGGACATGCGGCGTAAGGTCGAGTTGAAATCCTGGAAGAACTATCTAGTTCTGGCCAGTCCGATGTACGTGTAGAATTTGTAAATGCAAAACGTATATATATATATATATATGCGCACACACTGTATTTGCACATTATATGAGAACAACTGTAGATCGTCGCTTCAAAGTTTCAGGGACGTTTCACGGCTTCATGCCAGCTTTTCGGATGAACCCCGTGGTAGGCTGCGCCGCAACAGTTCTTAGGTATAGGGTTTGATGAACCCCCACCCCTAAACCCTAAACCCCAAAACTATCAAGCGCTTCGTCATACTACAGGAAGGCAGCTTCTCCATAGCCTTGGACGATCGGCCACCGCCTATGACAGCACTTTCGGTTGCACCTAGCCGGCTGGTTCGTGGGTTTAGGGTAAAGGGTGTAAGGCTTAGGATTCAGGGTTTAGGGTTCCATGCCGAGGCATCCGATGTTTGTCAACTTCTGTTGCATCACGCGACAGTAAGCTCGTGCAGCCGAGATCCACAGCACGTGGAACCCACTGCAATCCTAGGCCATACGATGTTAAGGTGCCATAGTCAGGTATACATGTTTGTACTTCGGATCAGCTTTTCGTTATATTTCTGCAGCAGTTGGACAAAGTGAGTGGGTGGGGCTCATTGGGACTTGTCTGCCTACTCGCCACTATGCCTCATGTCGGAAGTTGGCTTACGCATACGATACATGCCTGCCAGCCTACACCTCCATGCTGCCGGGATGCACCAGGTCCCAGAACAAAGCAGTGCCGACCGTGAAGCATCCTACGCATGAGCTGCGCTTTTCCATGAACCTTTCAGGCCTGCCAGTGCCAACCTTCCAGAGGTGTCACCTTCGTGGAAGTTTGGGAGCTTGCCAGCTGACTAAGCCCTTAGGCTTGAATCCTGGACCCGAAAACTGGTCCTAAGCCCTCTAACCAGCACCCTAAATCCTGTGTAGAAGCCTAAATTAATTGCCCATACTATTTTGAGGGCTCCTTATTATAAGTATATGGTATAAACCTCCTCAAAACCCTTTTCTATTTATTCAGGCCCTTACATTAGACTTCAACCCTCAACCCCTAAACCCCTGCGTTGTAACTCCCAAAACCCTAGGTTGGCCCCTATATTAGACTTCCCTCAATTCGACTTCAACCCTCAGCCCCTATGTCCTAACTCCCAAAACCCTAAACCCTAAACCTAAACCCGATGTCCTAACTCCCAAAACCCTAAACCCTAGGGCCCTAGGTTCAGCCGGCGGACTACCGGCAGAAGGCTGATCAGTCCGAGGGCCGGGATGATGAGGTGATGGACACGGAGTTCCGCAGGCAGCCCTCGTGGGATTAGGGATTTCTATAGGGTTGTTTAGGGTTATAGGGCTACCCATAGGCCCCATAGTAGTTCCCTTTGTGTGGCTTATATTTAGGATCCTATTAGGGAATCCCAAAAAGGCACTACTATGGGGCCTATGGGTAATGTGTTCACAGGTTTCAGGGTACAGGGTTTCAGGTCTGGGGAAGGGATTTTTGGGGGTCTGGGGTTTCGGAGTTTACGGTTTAGGGTTTAATTTCAAAGGAATGGCACGAGTGCGATGTGGTGTGGAGAACCCGGCCGGCCGGGCTCCAACCACGCCAGTGGAAAGAGGCCTTAATGGGAGAAGCACAATTGTTTTAAGATGTAATTTTGGGACCCAAATAATTACCTTTCTTATTTGGGGTTCCTTATTATAAATACAGTATAATGGGCCTAAAACCCTATTCTAATCATTAAAGCCCCTTTTTTAGGCTGTGATGGGCTCTTGGGGTACCAGGATACAAGGGCATTGGGGTACTCCAGTTCCCTTGTCTAGGAAGTCTGGTACCTGCTTTTCAGGCTTTCAGTGGTGCAGGGTTGAAGGACTTGGGGCCTAAACCCTAAACCCTAAACCATAATTCTAAAGTGACACCGACTCTTCCCTTTGAAACTTGTTTGGTACAAGTAGCAAGTATTACCGTAACCGGAGACCGTCCTGGGCCTCGACCCTAAACCGTAAGCCCTAAAGCCCTAAACCCTCTACCCTAAACCGCAAGCCCTAGAGCCCTAAAGGTACAACGGTCACTTGATGCCGCCATCTCCGGAAGATTTGCCACCAGAGAGGCCCAATGCGCCTCTTCTGGGAAGCTCCAGTATGTCTGGGGTTGGACACCTAGACCCTAAAACCCCAAACCCCAAACCTCAAACGCTAAGCCCTAAACCCAAAACCCCTTGAAGCCCCTAGGTGGAACCCAAAAAACCCTAAACCCCGAAACCCTAAACCCTAAAACCCCTGTAAACCCCTGGAAGCCCCTATACACCACCATAAACCCCTAAACCCTTAAATCCTAAACCCCTATAAACCCCCTATAAACCCTTACAAACACCTGTAAACCCCTATCAACCCCTCTAAACCCTTATAAACCCCTAGAGCCCTCAACCCTCAAGGCCGGGCCGAGAGGCTCCAAACCACCCGGGAGCCGAAACCCCAAGTCCGAACGGCTCGGGGGGGTTTAGGGTTTAGGGTTTAGGGTTTAAGGTTTAGGGTTTAGGGTTTAGGGTTTAGGGACCTAAAATGAGAGTTTCCGGAAACAGGGGGTACCTTATTTTGGGTCCTCATAATAAGGATCCTACTTTTTAGGGTACTATGTTAGGGTCCCCTATTTTCGGAAACCCTTAAATCGTAAACCCTAAAACCCTTGCTACAGGGTTTAGGGGTTTATAGGGTTTAGGTGGTTGAGGGGGTTATATAGGGCTTAGGGGTTTATAGGGTTTAGGGGGTTACAGATTACAGGGTTTAGGGTTTATAGGGTTTAGGGGTTTTGTAGGGTTAAGGCAAAATGTAATGTTGGCTCCTGGAGAGTCCCGAATCTGCGCCGCACACTTTAAGGCCACCTGTTAGATGGCCATATTTTAGAGATCTACGAGGGTCAGTGTCAACACCATATGACCCTAAACCCTAAACCCTAAATACTGCTCTACATGGGTAATTAGTTCTCAGAACCCTGGCCTGATCTAAGGTGTTTGTTTTTTGACGGTGCCGGCTTCTTTTCTCTGGTGTTTTAAGAGGGTTTAGGGTTTAGGGTTTAGGGCCCTAAACCCTAATTTAGAGAACTGCCCATAGCCAGGGCAAGAGACGAGGACAGCAGTAGCACCTCTCAAGGTTTAGGGATTAGGGTTTAAAGGCCTATATGTGGTTGTCGGAGGTCTCAGAATGTGGGATGAAGGTCGGTGGGATATTTCCAGATAAGAGTCCTCATAGAAGGGATCCTTCATCCTACCTACCTTTCTTCCACCGTTTGAGGCCTCCGAGGTTGGGGCCACGACCCGTGGCAAGTGCTACTCATCCCAAACCCAAGTCCTTTCTACCGAGGAGACGGTGCGATCGTACTGGTTTCCCTCGACTGTCTCCGACGGAAGCCAAGTCAGCGATTTGGTTGCACGTGAGAGGAGTCCCTGGATCCATGTCTGCTGAACTATGACTTCCGAGCTGCGAACGCTCCGACCACAGTACAGATCCGTTCTCCCCAGCTAGGCATACAGTCAGCATTCAGTAAAAATTGGACAAGCTTCTAGCCTGAACCGGCTATTCTTGAGATTATGATTTCCTCGTTTCTATTGTACGTAATTAGGACGGTCGGTTACGGCAATCTTGGCCGCGGATCGTAAGTAGACGGTTGCTGCGAATTTCCTGTCTGAGCAGTGTTTCAACGACCCCAGAAACCGTAGACTCCGGCCGCCTCGTCTATCCCAGATTATCCTCGCATCTCCATCTCGCCGCAGCGGAGCCCACTGGATGGTATCGAGGTGATCATGCGGACGGCCACTTGGCTTGACGGCACATACTTTAAACTAACTGATGGGTTCGGGGCTGCATTTAGTTAGGTTGTCCTATGGATTTCCTGGGGGCTCGAGATCGTTCGAAAGCCTCTTGTGGCATGTTGTTTTTGAGTTCCGCGATCCTGGCCCGCATGGGTTCTTCAGAGTTTCAGGCACCTGCAGAGTATGAAAGTCCTATGGTGGATAGTCTGCCTTCCTCTTCCATGCTAGCCCTCCGAACTGAACTGACTACAACCTGGACGGCCCACCCATTATCTCCAGTGCAATTGAATTTGCATTTTTTGTGTTTTGTTGCAGGATCCTAACCTTCAAGCTGGTTTAACGCGAGAGGAACTCAAGCAGAGAGTGCTCTTAGGGCTGAAACTCTTTCTCCCTAACTCTCCAGGTACCTACTATATAGGGCCCTAGGGGCTCTAGTACCCTATATAATAGGTACCTGGGGGGGTTAGGGTCTTACTAGGTTTCTTGTAGAGAGAGGCAGCAGAAGGCCTGTTAGTTGTCCTTGCCCAGCATCCATTTCGAGTTAGCCATGTGCTGTTCTGCCGGGAATGCTTGAAGTTATGCATCCCTCTCAACCATTGTAGGGATGAAAAACTCTTGGCCCATAGGCCGCAGGCAATGCCCAACCCCTGCATTCCTGCGCTTGGAAGGACGGCTTCTACATCCCGCCCTACGCTCGATGCAGATGCCGTTTCGGCAATACTCAGGCCACGGCAACGTGATTAGGGTCCTCCATTCTAATTTCGAGACCCCTGGACTGTCCGCCTTTTCAGTGACAAGTGAAACCAAGTAGCACGCAACCCAGGAGCTAGACAGGGCCGCGATAGTCTGTGTCCTCTTCTGGAGACCTACCTATCTAAGGCAGGACAGCACTGGGTGCTGCTGGCCCGGAGGGCTAGGACTAGTTGACGTCTGGGGCTTTCAGATTTAGGTGCCCGGGTTGAATTTTGTGCGGGCTTCTTAGTTGAGTGAGTTTGGGTTTCACTCCATCCAGCCCCATGCTGACAGCAGGTCCCTGCGTACTGCGTGGCGCGAAGACAGCAAGTGCAATGCAGGTCCACCTTGGGCCTTGCTTCCGTGGGGCTTGTTGAGTTCCCATCGCCCTAAACCCGAATTTCCTCAGCCTACTAGTTCTTTGTATGAACCGTTTTGGCGGAGTCCTGCTAATTAAAATATATATATATATATATATAACTATATATACATATTTGTGTATATATATATATNNATATATATATATATGTATGTATTTGGGGTTTAGGGGCGACCAATCAAGCCTGTGTTAAAGGGTTTAGGCGGCTTAGACAGTGCAGCGTCAGTAAGGTGACGATATGATGACTAGACTAGGACCATGAACTACTTTCGCTGGCATCACGGATAGTTCGCGAACGGGCGTGAGGATTTAGAGAAGCCTGCCCGTGCAAGCCGCAGAAGTGCCTTCAAAAGGCAGCAAAAGCTTCCAGGAGTAACTTTTAATTCTTTTGAACGCCCTGAGCCTAAGGGTGGGTATCAGAGAAGTATGGTTCAGGGTTGCGTCAACTCGTGATTCCATACAACGACAGTAGGTTCTCAAGTGGCCTTACTGTATCTGATAGTTCAGAACAGGGCGAAAGATTAGGTAAACCCAAACCCTAAACCTCAAAGGCTCTAAGCCCTAAACCTAACGAATGCACAACCCGACCCAGCACTGCATCTTCACAAGTGGGATCCATACTTGAAGGACTCTGAAATAACAAAAACACGGAACGAGGGTAACTTCAAGAAGGTGCCTGAATCGTAGGTTCCAAGCCGAAAACCGGTAAACCGCTTAACCCTAAACAACGAGGCCCNNCCCTTAACCCTAAACCCTAAACTCCCGTCAGCCCTACCCTAAAATACTAAAGCCACAACGCTAATTCTCCCAGCTCTTTGCGTAATTGTCCAACCAGCGGACAAAACAGACAGCTTTGCGAAGCCCCAAGGCAAAGCAAAAGCTAAACGCAGCATCCTATAAACCCCCAAAGCCTCAGTCTGAAAACTGGGTCCCGAAACCCTTCAAGCCCCACAACCCCCCCCCCCC